TTGGTGCACCCCATGAAGAGAGGCACTGAGTGGAGCCGGCAGCCGGCACGTCCCGCATGGTGCCGGCAGGAACCATGAGATCAGCTGTGAGGGGCATGGCAAACCTGGAAATGATCAACCTTTCAACACTGCAGAAGTCTATAAAACTTTTCAATTGATAGAACTTGAGAACAGATGAACTTACAAACACTTATTCTCTCCCAAGTCAGAGAAAAGGAAAAGGTGAAGACATGCAAGGAGAACAAAATGGCGACACTAAGGTCAGTGCAAAAGGGAGAGGAGGATGTGCTCTGGGCCTCAGAGCTGAAATTCTCCTGCAAGCTGTGGTGAGGACTGTAACACAACAATCTATTTCCCTGTAATTCATTAAGTGCATGGGGGAATAGAGAAATTTAATTAAATTTAAATCACCTGTAGCCTGTGAGAAAAAGGTATTCATCCTGGAACATGTGGATGCTGAGAAGCTGCAATCGGGTGAAAGACTTGAAAGAGAGAGAGAAGCTTCCAGAGACAGAAGAAAATGACCTTTGCTTTTGTACTAGAACAGCTCTCATCCTTAAAACAAAACCCCATTAACCAAATGGCCCATGAAAAAAACAGTTGTGGGAAGACTTCTTTGCCTGTGGGAGTGACTCGTTGTCATAGGTTAAGAAGGGAATTTTTTGGGAGGTTGTGGTCAAACCAATCAGTGCTTGGATTTGAATTTTGGCACCTGGTTTGGCCACTGAAGGTATGGACCGCCTCTGAGAACACAGGGGGATAAATGCAAGAACTCCCAGGAGAACTCCCTTGGTCCCGGTCAGTGAAGGAGGTCAGAGCTCTCCTCCCCTGGTGAGGTAGGCAGGAGCCTTGGGCAGAGGAGGGGGGTGAAGGCTCTGAAAGATGGAAGGGTGGAAGAGCCCTGAGAAGCATCGGGGCCCCCCCTGCCCCCCCACACCCCTGGGAGAGAGATAGAGAGCCAGTGCCTGTGCTGCCTTGAAATTCGATATCATGGTCTGGCAGCAAGGCCAGCCAGAAGGAGAAGTGGGGGGTGCGGTGAGAGAAGGTGCCCAGCTGCTGTGGGAGTTCTGGGCAGACAAAGGCGAAGATTTTAGCCCCTTTCTAGAATAATGGAAACCTTACAAATACTGATCCTCCTGAATCTGAATGAGGAGAGAGAGATGAAGCAGTGGGTAAGTGTGATGAAAGTGAGTACAAGTGAGAGATGTTAAAAGAGGTGAGAAGAGTCCTAGGTGGGAGGAGATGATGGACTGGCCTTGGGCTGGACTCTTGTATGGCCATGGACAGACCCATGTTTTTCCTGTGATCCAGAGACTGTATTTAGGGGGAGGCAATGCCTTGAAGCTAAAGAGTGCAGTGAAGCAGTGGCATGAACAGAGACAGCTGAGGAGGGTGTGGGATGCCCTCTGTCTCTAGTGAAGAGGAAAATTTCTGTTCATGAGGCCCCTTGGCCCCAGGAAGTGAAATTTGGGGGGGACTGGTATTCCCAAAGCTGAGAGACTGCTGTTTTTGTTGGAACTGGTCGGGGCATCCTTAAATGGGGAACCCTAAAAGCAGTCCTGGTCCATGTGCAGTGGTGGGAGCACTGGACATGGAGGGAAGAAGTCACGAGGGCAGATGGAAACACAAGAGGTTTCAGTTGTGTTTCTGGGGGAAGCCTATGGTGCAAGGGGGGGACTCCCTGATGGACTTGAGGGTTGATTATTTCAGGGGTGATGATGGACTCAAAAGTTGATTATCTGAGAGATGGTGATGGTGTGGAAATCTATGGTGTTATTTCATGCTATGGAGGAAAAAGGGGGAGGAGGAGAAATGTATTTGGAGGGTTTTCATTCTTAGTTTTGTGTCTGTTCCTTTTTAGATGTTGTAGTTAATAAAGTTTGTTTCCTTTATTCCTGAGTTGGAGCCTGTTTTGCTCTGTTCCTGATCACATCTCAGAGAAGCCGCTAGGGAAAGTGTATTTTCATGGGAGCACTGGCATTGTGCCAGCCTCAAACCATGACACTCGTGCTGCAGCAAATTTGGGTGGGGCTGCTGCTCGTGAAAATTAGAATCACATTGGAAAAGTTCACAGAGAACTGTCTCCCATGGGAAAGACCCCATGGCATAGCAAAAGAGACACCTCTTCCTAAGCAGACTGAAGAAAGATTTTTAGAAGTGACAAACTGACTAAAAGCCCCATGTTTTGTCTCCCTGTGTTGTTGGTCAGAAGGAAAGAAGGGCTGTGAAGGGAAAAGTGGTTTTAGTTCTCATTATTCTTTTTCACTAATAGATTTTAATAGATTTGTTTTTATATATTTAAAAGTTTTGAGCCTGTTTTGCCCTTAAAGTGTTTAACTTCTAATCCTTATCTCACCCCATGAGCTTTTTAATTGTTCTTTCCTCCTCCTCTGCTCATCTGTGGCAGAGGAGAATAAAGTAAAGGATTCTTTGTAGGTGTGCTGGCTTTTAGCCAATGTCAAACCCGTGACACTATCAGATTTTACTTTACTTACTGTCATTGTAAGGACATTCACATGTTTCAAAACAAATAAACCACCCAGTACTAACAGCACTAAGAAAAAGTTACAATTATTTGAGGTTCACTGAATTCTGTCCTACACTATTTCCAAGAAAAAAATGCAAGGCAGAGGATGACAAGAAAAAAACCCAGTCTGAGTCTACAACTTAGAGAAAGTAAAGTTTAAAAAGCAAGGAAATACAAAGAACTGCAATGGTTGTGGTTGCAAGGAAAGCCTATTACAAAAACATTAATGGTTTAAAACAGAAAAAAAAAAAAGGAAAAAGCCTTTGGTAAAAAAAAAATTAGTAATTAAAGAAAAAAATAAAAAACCAAACACCCACCCACCAACACTCCCCAAAACCAAAAAAATCCAACCCACCAAAAAACCAAACACAACCAAAATTAAAAATAAACAAGCAAATGGGGACCACTAGAAAAAAAGGAACTACAACAAATTACAAAAATTTTAATACATGTCTTAGCTTTCACCATCCTCTTACTCTTCTGAAAAATGTCTCAGAACATTTCTGTTTGCACTAGTTTTAATGCTTCCCTTACATTTAAGTGTTGTATTTGCCTCCACAAGCTGTGCAGCATGAAGGAGATGTGGACTAGGACCCACATCCAAGAGTGTAATTGCTTGAAAAGCAGACAGACTCACCATCAGGAGCAGGAGTAGGAGCAGGAGGTCTACCAGCTTCTTGGGGTGAAATGTGAGGCTGAAAAATAACTGTTCAGTAAAAGTAAGTTTTAGTAAGCAAGGAAATGCACAGAATAGAAATAGTTATGTCTGCAAGGAAAGGCTATTACAGAAAGTTAATGGTTTATAAGAGATAGAAAGAAAAAATCCATTGGTTAAAAAAAAATAAAAAAGAAAGAAAGCCAGCAATTAAGTAAAAAAAGAAAAAAAATCAAAAATCAAACAGCCACACACATGGCTCAACCACTCCCCAAAACCAAAAAATACCAAGGAATCAAGCAATCAAACCCAAACTAAAATTAAAAAAACCCCACAAGGAAATAGGCACCAATAATAAAAAACATTAGAGTAATAATTTTAATCCATGTGTTAGCTTCGACCATCCCCTTTCTCTTCCAAAAAAAGTCTCAGAACATTTCTCTTAGCACTAGTTTTAATGCTCCCATTGCTACTGTTTGCCTACAGAAGCTGTTCAGCATGAAGGGAGATGCTGTCTGAGAATCCACATCCAAGTGACTGTAATTGCTTGAAAAGCACACTTACCATCAGGAACACGAGCACCAGCAGCAGGAGCAGCAGCAGGAGCAGGAGGAGGAGGGGGAGGAGGAGGAGGTGGTGGAGGAGGAGGTGGTGGAGGAGGAGGTGTTGAACAACCTGCTTCAGATTCAGTGTGGGCACGTGCAGATTCTGTTTGGGGACAGTGAATTGTAAAAAGCAAGGAAATGCACAATACTGGAATGGTTGTGGTTGCAAGGAAAGGCTGTTAGAAAATGTTAATGGTTTTGAGCAGAAAGAAAGGGAAAAGCCTTTGTTAAAAAGGCAAGGCAGAAGGAAGTGGTGGAAGGAAGTGGAAGGATAGTAATTTTAAAAAAACCTCATTAACCAAATACACCCTCACCTGCCAGCACCTCTTCCCAAAACCAATAGAAATCCAACCAAGCAAGGAACAAATTCAAACTAGAACCACATAGCCCGCAATCAAATAGGGACCAATACAAAAAAAACCCAGTAGTCATTTTAATCCCAGTGTTAACTTTCGCCACCCTCTTTCTCTTCTGAAAAATGTCTCTGAACGTTTCTGTTTGCACTAATTTCATTGCTTCATTATGATATGTTTGTTGTATTTGCCTACAGATCCTGTGCAGAATGAAGGAAGATGCTGTTTGGGAACCCCCATCCAAGTGACTGTCATTGCTTGAAAATCACACTTACCATCAGGAGCAGGAGTAAGAGGCTCAACAGCAGCTTCGGGTTCAATGTGAACCCTTGCAGATTGTCTTCCTGTTCTTAATGCTTCAATTCTGTCAGCTGCCAGTGAGTAGAGATCCATAAAACATCTAAGCACGTGCTTTAAATAAAAGTAAAAGGGATCATTAGGGCCAGGCAAGCTACACTTAAATTCCAAATAGCACACATCCAAAATCGTTACAAAAGACAGATTTATTTTTTTTTTCAGCAGACAAACTATATACAGTTTGTAAGCCAGGCAGATTCTCAGTCCCAGAACTTAAACATCAAAATAGGTCTAGCACTGGTTTGGTATTTCTTCTAGAATGTTGAATAATAATATCATTGAAGAAAAGGGAATGACTCCACCCTCTAGTTAGAAGATGCTTTGATGAGATGTTTTCAAACATGCAATACAGCACTGAGCTCTTGATACAACTTTTTCAGTTTATTTCAACACAAGATTCACTGCAGGTTCAATTTCTGTTCATAAAAAATTACCACACAGTTTCAGGACAATTCTCTCATTGGGCAAAAAATTCTGTTTTAGCACTAATGTATTCTGCACAGCTATAAAGACTAAGGGATAAAAGACATCAAACTTAAAAACAATAATGACACATTGTACTGAATCTGTGTTCAGAGTTGAAAATATGGCACAGTTTCAGTAAATTTATCCTTTTTTTCCACTCATTGCTTTGTCCTAACCAAACTAGTATTTGAAATTTTGAACAAAACCCTATTTGTTGTGAAGAGCTGCTAGAACAATGAAGGCAAAGGTAGTTTTCTTTGTTGGTATTCAGTTGCTATATACAGAAAAAATTCCAGTTTTAAAGCCTGAAAACCTACATGAACAAAATAGCTTCTATATTTAAACATTCTAACTTCCTCCTTTTCTTTTCCTATTTATGATGTTTCATAGGTTAAAGCAGCAGACACAAAGCCAAATGTTTTAGGGCCACCAAGTATGTGACCTCTCATTATTCAGTAGAGGGTTAACCACAACAATTGCCAATTTTTTTGTATGTTGCATTGGTCTTGGCAACCAGAAATAGTGCTCAGCAAGGGAAAGAAAGTGAATTTTATCATAACTTCTGTATTTAGAACAAGCTGTGTATGTACTACAAACTTGCATTTTATTTCACTGTGTTTTTTTAAGATGGCAGAAGTTGAAGGAGGAAACTTCAGTGGCAAGGAAGGGAAGTTGCTTTGCAACAACTTCTCTCCTCCCTTGAGAGTAAGCAGTTCTAAGGCTCTAGATGTTTGGAACACAAATCAGAGGGAACACTTCAAATCCTTACCTCATTCAGGGCAGCCTCCACAGCTTTCATACGATTCATGATCAACTCTTCATCTCTATAAGAAAAGAAAAAGAGAAGTTCCGGAAAGGAAAGGAAAGGAAAGGAAAGGAAAAAGGAAAGGAAAGGAAAGGAAAAAGGAAAGGAAAGGAAAGGAAAGGAAAGGAAAGGAAAGGAAAGGAAAGGAAAGGAAAGGAAAGGAAAGGAAAGGAAAGGAAAGGAAAGGAAAGGAAAAAGGAAAGGAAAGGAAAGGAAAGGAAAGGAAAGGAAAGGAAAGGAAAGGAAAGGAAAGGAAAGGAAAGGAAAGGAAAAAGGAAAGGAAAGGGAAGGGAGTAACTTTATGGAACTGAAGCTCTACCAATGTAGAAATTAATCTTCTGCTACTTTATGGCTGTCATGTCTTGTAAAATAATTGTTGTTGATAACTCAAACTGTTAGGATTTTCTCTCTTTTTCATATCCCCAGTGCAAACCCAGAAAGTAGTTAATGTTGGTGCATTTGGTGCATTTCGATATGAAAGATGCTTCTTTTGAGGATAAGCAATGAAAATTTATGTAATTATAGGCCTATCAATGAACAACCATCATGGCTTGGATAGAGAGGGCATAAAAAGTCTCAAGCTGGATGGTATTATATTCTTGTATTGGAAAACATGGACAGATTCTGTTTATTCAATTTGCTTTGCTTATATGTTCCAAAGGGAGAAAGAAACCCTATTTGTTCTGAAGGGCTGCTAGAACAATGAAAGGAAAGGTAATTGTCTTTGTTGATATTCAGCTGGTGTATGGAGGGGAAAAAATAGCCAGTTTTAAAGTTACTTCACATTAAAATAACCTCTTCTGGATATGTGTGTGGTCACAAAAAATTATCTTTACTAAAATGTCCAAAATAGATAGGGGCAGGATGAAAAGGGCAAGCTTTCTAGAAGAAATGCTTCTGCAGACAACACCCACTTTGATAAAATCCTACCAAATAACATTGGTCATTTTAATTAGCTTGTTAAACATTTCATTAAGGACTATACAAATTGCATTATTTTCCTTGTGCATAAAGCCCTTAAAGCTTCTCAGATGTTGGTCTTCAGAGGTCAAATGAACCCACATATGACTAAAATTTTTTTAGATCCTAGCCATGGAATGACAATATTTATAATGCATGCTTCATACTATGGTAAGAATTAGAAAACAAAATCTGCAAAGTTTTTGTTTTGATTTAATCTGACCATATGGGATAAGAATAGGTTAGTAATAAACTTCTTCAAGTCATGGGGTCTCCTTTTGACTACCAATCTTTTCAAGACCAGTGCCTGAGCCTTTCCTTCCACTCCAGGTTGTGGTGTAAGCGGTGTGGGGAATAGGTCTAAATCCAAAACTCCCTGAAATCAGCTGGAAGATCTGTCTTGTACCACAGGAAAGGCTAGGTCCAAAATGGGTTTCAGTCCCTTTGGCAGTGAAGACCTGTCCCCTAACTGATGCTTCTGTATTTACTATAAATAAATTGTATCTGTCTATAAAAAGATGGTGTGGAAACACAGAGACCAAACAATAATTTCTTAAATTAACAGAACTTTAAGGATCTGCCATAGAGATGTTGTCAGATCACTAAGATAGCAGAGGTATTTTGTTTGCCAGTTATTTCAGCACCTAGAATTTGGAGCAACGTTATGGGATAACTGCATAAAATGCATGACCTAGTATTTTGAACTAACACTTTTGTTTTAAGAAGACTATCCCTGAATTTAAAAATAAAAGAGACATATCTACTTTTCTCTTCTAACCTTACACTGTCCAGGGCTAAAGCCCTGCCCACTGAAGTAGGAGTTTAAATTTTTATTCATTTTAAGTGACATCTTCCAGGCCCCAGCGCTCACTTTGCTCCCTCTTGGATGGCAAGTTCTGCCTCCTGGAGAGTCTCCTGCAGCTGCTGCCGGTCTTGCTCCATGTCTTTCAGGAGTCTCTTCAGGTGATCCAGGACTTGCTCTCTTTTCCTCAGCTCCTCCATTGCATTAGGGAGGCTCTGCCAGCAGACAGAGAGCCGAGTTTCTCTTTAGCCCAAATAAACTTCTCTTTACGCCACTGGCCACTGACCAACGTGAAAGACAAATCGATTGTGAAGTAGATTTGGACCACTGCATATTAAGGTTTTATGAATTTCCTACCAAAAGCATTGATCACTCAGAACCCCCTCAGTTTTCATTATATTTGCTATGTATAAATACGTTTTAGAAAACAAAATTATTGTAGGTAAAAAACCCCAAACAAACACCCATTGAAGACTTTTTCTTAAATTGTTAAAAACAAAACATCCATAGCTTAAAAAAAAAAAAGGAGCCTTTGAAGTGTTTTGTCAGTAGCCTAAAATTCCAGCAGACTGAGTAGTGTGTGTGTATTTACTCCTGTTATTTTATTTACAGAAGGACTGCACTATTTGGCTTATTTAATGAAAGGTAAAGCTCTGGTGACTGTTCCAGAAGAATAATCTTACCATCAGAGGTAAATTGGAGACTTGGCTTTTATCTATGTCAGTAAATGAGAGTGATTCCAGTCTGCTACTCAGCTCCTGAAGCCGTCGCTGGTGCTCTTCTAGAAGCAATCTTGCCTCGTGCTCACGCTGCAAAGCATTCTCTAACTCCTCGTGTATATTGTCTTTGTTGATTCTCTGGAAAGAGAAACAAGTTGTGCCTGATTCTGTAGCTATATTCAGTGGTTTCCCTACCACTGAGTGAGTTCCACATGCAAACATATCAAATACTAAAACAAATGCATGCTTAGGATTAGTATTGAGGGTTTTTTTTAACATGAAGACATATCACTGAACAATAAAATGACAGACCAGTTAATTATTGCTGTGTTTTTTATAAAGAACATTCATGTAAAGTCTTGGCATTCATTATTCTACTCAAATTAGCACTCTTGGATGCAAAACTTTAATATTTAGAAGGAAAAATATGCAGATCAATGTTCAAAACTTTAGTGGATAACTTATTAACCCTTGTAAACACCTTTGTGGACTGTTCTTCTCATCCAGAAACTGTTCCAGAAACAAGAAATTATTCTTCAAGGAAAGTAGTCATCTGCATTTGAACTACAATCTGAAATATTATAATTTTCATCTAACTGAACCAAAACACTAAGGGAAAAGAACCTGTTAATAACAAAACTGAAGATGATTAGATATTTTTGAATAAAAAAAATATATCTATTTTACTAGCTAGGAAGGACAATGGGTGAGACATCATCTAGCAGATAGTCTCTGCTTGGAAGTGTTTGGACTGGGACACCCTGACAGGTTCTACCAACTAGGCCTCAGGTCAGGGAACCCACAGTGTTTCAGTAAGTCAATGAAAAACAGCAAAAGAGTCAGGGGAATTTTGGGCATTTGTGCTACTGAGAATGTAGGAAAAGGCTGTTTTCCCCCTGCCACAAAATTACTTCTTTGGGGAAACAGATCCACTAAAATTTTCATTGCACTTATTATAACATTCATCAACATCCAACAAGAGTTTAAACTGCTATATTTATGTTTCATTAACTTCTCATGAACATTCTTACTGAATACCCTCATTCCAGCTGAGTTTTCTCTGTTGAAGTGAAATCTTCTTTTAGGATACATAAATCACATCAACATTTCCAACAAATGTGAGAAGCTGGGTTGCTGAAGACCAAACTGTAATTTATACAGTATACCTCCTTCTACAAATCAAAAGTAAACTCCAGTGGAAAAGGGATATTTCTAAATACATCTGTCTTCTAGTTTAGTGACATTTACAAGTGCAGTTTTCTGGAAAATTCTATTGAAAGTAAATCAGTTTTATGTTTGTTTTCCACAAGAACACAAATCAAAAAATGTGCATAAAGGAGAATCTCTTTTAGCAGGAGAGTCTCCAAATCAAATGTACTTACATGCTGAAGTTCATTTAATTGCTCCTGCAGTCTCTGGGCTTTTTCAGCATCTTTTTGCATCTCATTGAAAGCCCATCTGCATTCTGCAAGCTGCAGGTGCAGTGTGTGGGACTCTGCCTCTGCTGCATGAAGCTTTTGTGAAAATCTAAATATTTCTTGCTGCAAGATTGCTATGTTTCTCTGTCAGCAAAGAAAAACAAATTGGTGTGCTACAAAATCTGGTATTTTAGCAATAAAATGAATAATATTTAAGACCCAAGAAAATTAAGACAAAACTATCATTTTTTCCTCCATCTCTAAAAGACATACAGAAAAGTTTGAACATGTCACCTACCAGGGTTACTGCAAATTCTGTTTACAAAGAAGTATTATTTTCAACTAAAGTCTACTACAAAAGATTATGAGAGAAAGAGTTTATTTTTTTATTTTGGTTAAAGGGAAGAAGGTTATCTTTACTGAAAGAAAGGATGGTAAACATGAGAAAATAGAAAACAATAAGGAAAAGCAATCTTTTACATCAAGACAAAAACAAATTTGTTTTTATAAGCTGATACAGATCTGATAGAACTTGAAAAAAGACCTTTTACTTGGATACACTAAACCTCCTCCAAAAATTGTTTGTCAACAAAAGAAAAGACCTATTCACATCCTAATGTGTGACAAATCAACTTCTGAGTGTCTATATAGTGCTACTTCATTGTCATTGACTCATCACCAGCCTGAAGCAAAACAAATGCTGCTATCAAGGGAGCTTCACTGTTGCTATAAACCTTCTGTTTCCATGAAGGAGAACTGTAAATCTGCTTACTGTGCTGGGCAGTCTGTCATACAATCCAGCTTCCAGGGCCTGGACATTTACTCTGTTGAGCCCACGAGCCAGCCTCTGTATCAGGGAGTCCCTCTCCAGGTAAGCTCTGCACCTGTGAATGCTCCCTTGAGCTGTCTCCATCAGTACGCTCAGGTTGCCCATCAGTTTTGCAAAGCAGCTCCTGGCTGTACTGATAAGTGAGTGTCCAGAAGGCCAGAGGTGTGCATCTTTAAGAAACAACAACACAAAGGAAACATCGAGCAGGTTATTAGTTCCCATTTCTTGTATAATATCATGTTCTTTTTCACTTACAGAGGATGGAACCTGTCAATATTCTGAAACACAGAATACTGAATCTGAAACACTGTTCAAACAATGTTTTTTAATTTTCAATTTATTGAAAGCAGCATGATCAAAGAAGAAAGTGCCTGAAACTGAATCTAAACACATTTAATTCAATGGCAACTTTTATACCAATTTAGTGTTTAGCTTCTGGAAAATGCATCACCTTGTCTTTCTCCTGCCATTTCCCTTTATTCACATAAATTGTCCCTTTTCTAAATATCATTTGTTCTGTGACAAAAATGTGGGGACTCTAAACTAGAGGTTAATAAAGAACCAGGGATGGCAGCAATGCAGATGAACCAAGGGAGCCTGTATCAGCTCTCACTGTAAATAAACTCCAGAGACACTTTCCAGCCTTCTGCTTCTATGGCTCTATATACTGAAAGGATAAAATAACCTATCAGCTGTTAAAGAAAATTAATCTTTAATTAATTAATTCCAACAGTACAGAGATGTGATTATTCAGAGAATGTTAAATAGAGTTATTATTTTACCCTGCAATAAAATCACTCCTTCAGGGAAACAGCCCCACTAAAATTTGTATTGACTAGCTCAGGACATAACCTCTAGTCAAAGGTGTCTAACATAAATATTCAGAAATGTCTCTTCAGAGCTATGATCCAGAATAGTTTAGATAAAATCATAAAATGGAAATGATATAACGACCCTGACTTATTTATTTTTTAAATATATATTTCTGCTACAACAATATGCAGTTAAAATTACCTTGTTTGCTGAGAACATGTTCCAGTTCTGAGATGGAGCTGATTATTGCAGTATAAAGGTTAGAGCTACTCAACCAGTGAAGTGCTTCATCACAGTCAACTCCTTCCTCTTCAAAACCTGTGAACCAGAATTGCAGCTAGCAGGATAAGTAAATCACTAAGATATGGCACACTGCTATCTTCAGCTCTTTCAGAAATTAACCAAAAATAAGCATATAAATAACAAATTAGTCAGGAGAATTTAAGGGCTTTTAAGCATGCTTCCAGAATTACTAAAAAAAAAAAAAAAAGTAGATGAATCTTCTCATTTCGAAAACATTTTTGATACTGTTTATCCTTCTAGAGGGAAGTATAAACTGCTCCGGCAACAGAAAGGGGCAAGTAGACATCATCTCCAAAGAAAATTTAAAAATCCTATGCTAATATTTTACCTGAATTAGAAAGCAATTTTGTGGGTTTTAGTAGGAAATAAGTATTAAAAATTATTTAAAAAGAGGAAGTACCTTTTCCAAAAAAAAAAAAAAAGAAAAAGACAGTTAATCATTTAGAAACACAAATCACAAATATCAAGGATATCAGATAGTGTTGAGTTGAGTTCATGTGCATAATTGCAATTTTACTTGCAACGCTTAACATAAGAACAGGCACTTGCTATTAGAGTGAAATACATTCATAAAGAAACATAAAAAACATAAATCTATTTATGGATTTAATCCATAAATAACATTTGTCAGAATGTCATTAAATATATCTTTATGCCCCAGCAATAACAATAATATTGGTCTTTGTTATTCCCTAAGCATGTAATTTGACATGACACTTTAAGAACATTTCACTTACGTGACATATGCCTGCCTCTGGATTCTCCCACACAAACTTGAATTCCATTGCTTCCTCTGGAGCCATCTGTCCAGACGAAAAAGGTACAAGAATATCTGGCCAGAGCCCTCAGCCTGTTAGCAGCCAGAACTGCAATCACAGCCCTTCGGAACACGTAAACCAGGCTCTTGGCTCTTCTCTGCCTCAGCCTGCCTTCATCGTTGCTTTCCACCATAGTAGGGAGACCACAAAGGAGCCTGATGATCTTCTGGTTCAATAATTGGTGCTGGTTCACCTGCTCCTGGAGAATGTCTCTTTGGCAAGACATAGCGCTCAGTCGGCCGTAGAGGGGACACAGGGCCCCTGACAGCAGCGCACAGGCTGCCAGCAGGGATGAGCGTGCCTTGAAAGCATCTAATAATGTATTTTTCATGGAATTGTTTTCCTGGGCCAGTTGCTCGCAGATTTGTTCAAGGCCATACAGTTTCCCCCTGTTTTTGTGGGCCGTTTCTTCACATTCCTGCAACAGAAACAGACCAAACAAACATGTAAGAAATATTAACTAGATGGTTTTTACCTAGACAAGAGCAAAACCAAAATTCTTAGTTTTGCTATTCTAATGATGCATTAAAGGAGTGAAAATTGTTAGTAATAATGGTGATGAAAGTACCTCTTTTGGTAAGCAATTACAGAACCAGATATATGAAACCAATGCAATGGTAGGAGGGAAATTTACATGATCATCAACTGCAGATGGACTCCTCATTTCTGACAAATCCCCCAACACCGTGACAGCTCACAGAAGATCCAACACCACTTGTCTGCCCACAATACAATTTTAGGAGTTGATGTAACAGTAGTAATAACATCTTCCAATTTCAGAGAGAACACTGCCCTACCGAGCAGAAAGCCAGTGTAAGCAAAAGGAAAAACATAAGGAAGTCTGGAACATGAAACTAGACAGATTAAATTTTTCAGCATGCAAAGACTTTCAGTCCTGAAATTGCATCAAATACAGCATAATTCTGCGAAGTAATTTGCAGTAACTCACAAATAACAAGGGACATCTATTTCCTTTATTCACAACGCTTTTAATTGAAACAGGTGTGAAGGAATGTGATGATAAAGACAGTAAATGGTAGCTGTGGAATAACAGGGAACATTTTTAATTGCAAATAACCCATCTAACAAGTAGTGACAGTTTTACACTTTAAAACCACTTCTCACTGTAGTATCAGTAAAGCAGAGTCGCTTAACACTGTTGAAATCTACCACTGTTCTTAGGGTCAGTACATATGTAATTAAATTTATCTGCAGGTAACACCACATTATTGTTACTCCATACAATCTCTGCAAATGATGATGCTCAAAAAGTGGCTGCTGCCCTCAGTAATTCTTGGAAAATGAAAATTTGATCTGACATCCTTAACATTCTGTCCTGGCTTGTAAAATAAACATATATTCTATTTTGCCATCTGTTGGGGGTTAGGCAGTTTTTTCTTATCTCTTTCAAGAACAATGACACTGCCAGGAAGATAATCTCCTGCTAATGGGCTATATAATGTCCTGGCTTGTAAAATAAGCATGTATTCTATTTTTGCCATATGTTGGGGGTTAGGCAGTTTTTCTTATCTCTTTCAAGAACAATGACACTGCCAGGAAAATAATGTCCTGCTAATGGGCTATTGAATTACTCACTGTGGCTGGTAAGATTAGTTACAACATCCCATTGGGAGATGCTCCCCCCAGAGGGAGGAGCCAAGCATCCCTGCCACCATAAAACAAGCACTTCTGAGACCACAGACAGCCTTCTTCGCTGGATTTCCCAGAGGAATCAGAAACCAAGGCCCAGCTGCTCCTTCGCCGCATTTTCGGAAGGGATCTACACCCTTCTGCAGATCGCCGCTCCAGGAGGAGCAGCCACCATCTGGCTGGACTACTATCAACACCCTGACTTCTCAGGGTGTCAGGTTTTTCTCACTCTGCCAGTGGTTGTTTTGCTTGTGTTAAATTACATTGTTATTTAGTTTTTTTCTTCCAGTAAAGAACTGTTATTCCCGTTTCCCATATCTTTGCCTGAGAGCCTTTTTTAATTCTGAAGTTGTGATAATTCGGAGGGAGGGAGTTTACCTTCTCCATTTCACAGAAGGCTTTTGCCTTCCTTCACAGACTCCTGTCTTTTCAAACCAAGACACCATGTAATAAAAGAAGCTAGAAGCCAGATGATTAAAAGATGATGGGGTCAAAACCGCTACCAGCTGAAGCTGGAGAAAAATGAAGAAGAAGACAATGGCCTGCTAATGGGCTATTGAATTACTCACTGTGGCTGGTAAGATTAGTTACATCATCCCATTGGGAGATGCTCCACCCAGAGGGAGGAGCCAAGCATCCCTGCCACCATAAAACAAGCATTTCTGAGACCACAGACAGCCTTCTTCGCTGGATTTACGAGAGGAATCAGGAACCAAGGCCCAGCTGCTCCTTCGCCGCATTTTCAGAAGGGATCTACACCCTTCTGCAGATCGCCGCTCCAGGAGGAGCAGCCACCATTTGGCTGGACTGCTATCAGCACCCTGACTTCTCAGGGTGTCAGGTTTTTTCTCACTCTGCCAGTGGTTGTATTGCTTGTGCTAAATTACATTGTTATTTAGGTTTTTTTTCTTCCAGTAAAGAACTGTTATTCCCGTTTCCCATATCTTTGCCTGAGAGCCCTTTTTAATTCTGAAGTTGTGATAATTCGGAGGGAGGGGTTTTACCTTCTCCATTTCACAGGAGGCTTTTGCCTTCCTTCACAGGCTCCTGTCTTTTCAAACCAAGACAGATTTTCAGAAAAAAATACTACCAACTGTAGATGAAATCAGGCTTCTCAGCTGGGGCTGTAGACCAAATTCTCTTCAACAAATACTTCATCAAAGTAATGTATTTCTTATTTTAAGTGATGTTAATATTATCACAGTGATGGGCTAGTTTGTTGTCTGTATTTTTTTACTTTAAAAATATACTTTAATTCCAAATGACCTTAAACTGCTAAAGGGCTTAAACTACTGAAATAATTCATTAAATGTTACAAGGGGAAAAAAATTAGAAGTTCACAGCACCATACCTGTGCTCTGGCTTGAATTTCTGCAAGGCGATTTGAGTACCTCTCTTCAAGATATTGCTTTTCTTTCTGCCAGAAATGTTCCTGTGCTTTTAACTGTTCAGACATTTTCTTAAAAGCATCCTCCTGGTTCTGCTGAAAGTTCATGGTGTCAGTCTTGTGCTTGCAAATATATTCTAGATGAGCTATCTGTGTGACAAGCATTTAAGAAGAAATTATTATTTACTTTTTCACTTTAAGTTAAGGACAGACTATTCCAGCATAAAATGTAAACTGTGATTTCTTCAATATTTTCATTAAAAATAAGTAAAACTCTATCATAGCAGATTGATTACTTGGTTCTCAAAACAAAACTGAAATATATTTTGAGACAAATTATTTAATTTGGTTTTGGTTCTGCCATCTTTATACCTCCTTGCCGATATTTGTAACCTTCTTTGTAGGAAATCTGAGCCAGACACTTAAAACATTTTTAAACAATTGTTTTAAATTTTATTATATTAGTAAATTTAGTAAATTTTAGTAAATCAGTAATTCAAGTATATCCTTTAGAAGTTTGTGATTATTGCAAACAATAATTTAAAAAAAAGGCATTTAATTTTTTGTTTTGTTTGGGGGTTTTGTGGTTTTTGGGTTTGGGTTTGGGTTTTTTTTTTAAACCAAGACATTCCAGATTATTATTAAGTTTTGAAACAATTTCAGAGAATTCTAACATAGAGAATATTTTCCTTACAAAAACATAAGTTTATGATGTGTTTTCAACAAACATGAAGGGATTCACTGTTGTGATTTAACACTGCACCTCCCATGCAAACTAAATGGAGGAATGAACCAAGCCAACAATGATCTCCAAATGCACACACCTGCACTTTGTTATTAGAAAATATCACCAAGACACTTCCAGATAGTTCACACTGAACTGTAGGAAAGTGTTTTACAACACAGTCTAAAATCCCAGAATAAGATGCTTAGTGCATGAGGAAGGCCCTGGAGACCTCACAATCAGTCTCAATAACAATGCTTAATTAAAAAGCAAACACAATAAGACACAAGCCCTACAAACACTGCCAACAATATTCACCCCCTTCCCTTCCCTTCCCTTCCCTCCCCTTCCCTTCCCTTCCCTCCCCTTCCCTTCCCTTCCCTCCCCTTCCCTTCCCTTCCCTCCCCTTCCCTTCCCTTCCCTCCCCTTCCCTTCCCTTCCCTCCCCTTCCCTTCCCTTCCCTCCCCTTCCCTTCCCTTCCCTCCCCTTCCCTTCCCTTCCCTCCCCTTCCCTTCCCTTCCCTCCCCTTCCCTTCCCTTCCCTCCCCTTCCCTTCCCTTCCCTCCCCTTCCCTTCCCTTCCCTCCCCTTCCCTTCCCTTCCCTCCCCTTCCCTTCCCTTCCCTCCCCTTCCCTTCCCTTCCCTCCCCTTCCCTTCCCTTCCCTCACCTACTTCAAAAGAGAAATAAACCAGAACACAAAGTGAAACCCTAAAGAGTGGCTTAGCCACTCTTAGCTTAGTCTCTGAAGCCAGCTGACTTATTTTAAAAGGTTTGGTTTTTTCCTAAAAACACAAGGTTTTCTGGGAAGAAAGGCCATGTAAGCTCACTTGCATTAATACCACTCAGAAAAGTACAGCCCCTCCTTCACACAAATACTGACATGTTTGATAATAGGTATTTCTATTGTGTTCCTGAATAAAAATGTCCTAATCCAAAAGTCACAATTAAACAAAAAAACCCACACTGGCATTCTTTCAAATAGTACATCTGAATCATAAACACATAATTAAAAGGTGGTATTCCCGGAGTAAGCCTATGGATTATGGTCAAATAAAGACTTGCTTTATGACTGTAAATTAGTACATTCTGTGAATTTCTTTATCAGTAAGATGAATTTACTATATTTTAAGTAGGTCCCTGTGGCTAGTATCAGATATCCCTTTCAGAATGTCCGGCACAGAAGGTGGAGCTGAGGCACTTGATGCACACTCCACTCACATCTAAAGGCCCACAGCAACAGCATCAAACTGAGCAGTGGACAAGCCATAATTCAGTTACTGTCCAAATCCTTTTGCAGGGATGAATATCACTCCTTTTTAATGAGACTGCAGTGTGAACAAATGTCACTGAGCTCAGCAGGGGCAGCTGGTGGCTGGGGACACTCACCCTCTCGTTAGCCTTGTGGAAGTTCAAGATCAGGGCTTCAACATTCTCATGCAAGAGTGCACAAAACTCTGTCCAAGGTAACTCTTCCAAGGGGACATTTGTCTGTTTGGCAAGCACGTGGGCATTTGCCATGCTCTGGTACAAGTTCAGGAGGATGGACAGCTCCCTCTGGAACACAAAGGAAAATTAATTGCTGTAGCTGGGCAATGTTAAAATCAAAAGCCCTGCATCATATGTGTAGTAGCAGTGCTGCATGCAGCTGAAGACAAGCCCTCAAAGTTCATTCTCACAGCTTTACAAAATTCCTCAGTTCATTTCTAATCACTGCAGCCATACTATTGCATAATATTACAGCAGAGTAAGAAAACAGATTTATCTAATTAGATAATAATAGATAATAAGAAAACAAAATTTATCTAATTAGACACAGTATATAAAGTATTTGAGTAAATCCCAGTCCTGGGGGCTGGGGCCACAACCATGACCTGGCACAGATAAAAATATCCATGCTCTTAGCAGATGCAATTAATTCACCCATGTTAATACTCTGAGGTGCATCCAAACTGTGCCCCAACACCTGCACAGCACACAGAAAACTGTCCAGTTGGCTTGGTAGCGCAACACACTCTAAATTATTTTTAAAATTTGTTTTGCATGGGTTATATATGATTAAATAGCTGGCCAAAATAGGCCTACAACTTATCAAACTCCACAATCCATGCCTCATTTATTGACAGTGATTTTAATCAGTGGTATAATAAATTGATTCAGGCTATAAATAAATTTTAGCAACAACAGCATGCAGTAGAAATTCAATTCCTCATACTTTTAGTACATACAAATGACTTAGAAACTTTGATTAAGGTAATAGAAAGCTGTTTCTCAAATGCCATGAGGACAAAGTATATAAACCACTGTATCAGCAAAGTCAGAAATGAATATAATGTTATCAGACTGGGGTAGAAAGAACATATTCAGGGAGCATAAAAGTGGCATAAAATATGAAAAAAATACTGTATAGGTCAGGAAAGCAGGAAGGGAAAATGAAGGTAACAGAACACACTGACATTTTTACACAATTTAAGCATGGGTATAGCAAAGACCAACAGCAAAATATTAGAAGTTATCTTTACTTAGTTTCTGCTACAGTCTTCTGCTTTTTCATCTTGGGAAGCAAAATCAAAGCTGTCTCAATGAGTAAACAGGATCACATACAGGAACTCCTGCTTCCCAACAAATACAAACAGCTTTGGGAAAAATGCAAAGCCATCCAAGGCAAGAAATACCTGATCTCATAAGGAAACCACTAATACAAATCTTCCAAAAATGACTATTTTTATTACCTGCTCAGGACAGTCCTGTGGTTTGAAATCCTTTGAGTAAAACAATTAAAACAACCAGCTCTATGAATGCAACAGTGAGACAATCCTTTTTTTAAAACTTTTACTAACATAACATTAATTTTGAGTATGCCATTAAATACTGTTTCCATTACCAGAAATCTTGATTGTGAATGGAATCAAATTCTTGTCATGTATAACATATATTTTACTAAGGAATACAAATAAAAAGGAAAACTCCTACAACAGCTAGCAAGCACTTTAGGTTTCTATAGTAGAATATTTTCAGCTTGTAATTCTGTTTCGTAGTTATAAATGGCAATCATTAATGCCTGTAGTTAGGGCAGACAGTTGCTTTTCTCTCTATGTATTCATTTTGTGCCTGATGAAATGACTTTTTCAGGCTAACTAGGCCAGCACGTCTTTTAGTACATTAATGCTTGCATGGAAGAAGCTGCTATCCTTCCAGAAAGGAAAAAGAAGATCCTGATTTTATTTGTCTGTTCTGTTCTGCTTTTTGCAGGTGTATATATTCTACTAATTCCATATGGAATTAGAAAGCATTGAACACATGTAAAAATGTATTAATACATAGGGTTCAAAGCAGAAAGAAATAGATATGCTGACCAAAAGCACATTTTATTGTCTTTTCATGGTGTTTGGATTTTCCTGTTTTCAATTATTTATGTTACTGAAGTTTTCCAGGGGAATTCTCTTCATTCAGTAGACTCATAAAAGGGTAGGATTAACAGAAAAAGCTACACTTGCACTCAGAACAAAGCTCATGTGGAGTTTGTTCATGTACATAAACAAAGAAGAAAACCTTCCCAGTTCTTCACCCATAAAAGATAAATCTCTAACTTCCAGGCATGTTACCCTTCCAGTTCCTTTGCATGTTGTAAAAGTAGAGAGGGAATCAAAAAACTGAACGATCACTACTTATTTAATCATCACCTCAGAAATCTATGTGCCTCTACTTAGAGAAGGGCATAAGAAAACTGACTGAACAAGTGGCAATGCTTGTTAGTGTTCTTCAGAAAACAAGAAAAAAAAAAGATGATATTCCTTTTTATTTTCTCATATAGTTTTTCAAAAGTCCAGTATGAAGGCTTTGTTAGTCAGTATGAGATCACTCAGCAATTATCTTACAGGTTTTTCACACTTGTTTTTTTAAAATAAATCCTAATTGCTTAAATGGATCAAACCCTCTGTGATACAGTTGAATAACACAAGAATTTAATATTGAAGTATACATATTACAGTTTTTCATGTAGTCAAACATCTCTGGGAACTACAGATATAATAGCTCTGAAGCTGAAATGTAGTCATCTAAAATTTGGAACTGAAGTCTCAGGATGCATTAATATCTCACACCTAGAGAAGCTGGATATATGCACTGTACCTCCGAAATTAACAAGTGCCCGTCCCAAAGATATACGACAGAATATTTTAGCAATTTATAGTAGAATATTTTCAGCTTGTAATTCTGTTTCGTAGTTATAAATGGCAATCATTAATGCCTGTAGTTAGGGCAGACAGTTGCTTTTCTCTCTATGTATTCATTTTGTGCCTGATGAAATGACTTTTTCAGGCTAACTAGGCCAGCACGTCTTTTAGTACATTAATGCTTGCATGGAAGAAGCTGCTATCCTTCCAGAAAGGAAAAAGAAGATCCTGATTTTATTTGTCTGTTCTGTTCTGCTTTTTGCAGGTGTATATATTCTACTAATTCCATATGGAATTAGAAAGCATTGAACACATGTAAAAATGTATTAATACATAGGGTTCAAAGCAGAAAGAAATAGATATGCTGACCAAAAGCACATTTTGTTGTCTTTTCATGGTGTTCGGATTTTCCTGTTTTCAATTATTTATGTTACTGAAGTTTTCCAGGGGAATTCTCTTCATTCAGTAGACTCATAAAAGGGTAGGATTAACAGAAAAAGCTACACTTGCACTCAGAACAAAGCTCATGTGGAGTTTGTTCATGTACATAAACAAAGAAGAAAACCTTCCCAGTTCTTCACCCATAAAAGATAAATCTCTAACTTCCAGGCATGTTACCCTTCCAGTTCCTTTGCATGTTGTAAAAGTAGAGAGGGAATCAAAAAACTGAATCATCACAACTTATTTAATCATCACCTCAGAAATCTATGTGCCTCTACTTAGAGAAGGGCATAAGAAAACTGACTGAACAAGTGGCAATGCTTGTTAGTGTTCTTCAGAAAACAAGAAAAAAAAAAGATGATATTCCTTTTTATTTTCTCATATAGTTTTTCAAAAGTCCAGTATGAAGGCTTTGTTAGTCAGTATGAGATCACTCAGCAATTATCTTACAGGTTTTTCACACTTGTTTTTTTAAAATAAATCCTAATTGCTTAAATGGATCAAACCCTCTGTGATACAGTTGAATAACACAAGAATTTAATATTGAAGTATACATATTACAGTTTTTCATGTAGTCAAACATCTCTGGGAACTACAGATATAATAGCTCTGAAGCTGAAATGTAGTCATCTAAAATTTGGAACTGAAGTCTCAGGATGCATTAATATCTCACACCTAGAGAAGCTGGATATATGCACTGTACCTCCGAAATTAACAAGTGCCCGTCCCAAAGATATACGACAGAATATTTTAGCAATTTAACTATTGTGAACCATTTCCTTTCCCCTCACTGTTTCAATGCTACTTTGAATTCTCAAACATAAGAATGTGACATTTTGTTTTAATATTTTTTCTATTAACTTGATACTCCCCTGAAAAAAGGAGATATTTCTCTATTACCATTTACACTTTTGACACTCATTGCAAAAAATCCACTCAATGTTTTCACTGGAGCAAGGAAGTCTTAGCATTTTTCAGAGATTGTACCTTTGCATGTTCATCTTCTGTTTCATGGTAAACTTCTACCAAATATTTAACTAAAAGTTTACCTGTGTGATTTCTGTAATGTATTTACAGTCTATATGTGCTAGTCTTGCTGCATTTTCCTCCATTTCCTTTATTTTCACTGTATCTGCCTAAAAGTACATTTTGGAAATATTTAAGTCCAGAAAGATGATAACATGCAAAGACAACTTTATTTGTTCAGTTTATTAGATCTCCTAAACCTGTGGTATCTGAATTACTTGCACTTTGAAACTGTGAAAACTCATATAATAAATAAATAAAAGGAAACAATTACATATCCAGAGTATCAAAATAACATTTTTGTTTAGTTAAAGAAATTGATGTAGGATTATGTTCTTGCTCATTTTCTATACACACAGATACCTATCTCCATATAAAGTTCTGGGCATGGAATTTCAATTGAAAAAATGCTTTTAGCAAAAGCAGTAACTACAGAGCTGCTATAGTAGAAATTCACATGCAATTTTAACTACACACTTTCCTATCAAAAACATCTTCTCACTTTGACTGATGACTGATTTGAAAAGAACAATACACCCCAAAATGACTCCTGCCTTCAAGTGATGCAACAAACATCAAGGAAAGGTCTTTAATATTAAAAGTCATTTAAGACACTTAAGATTACACAGATACAAGGGAAGTCATTAATTTTGGACAGGTAAAGCGAAGTAGCAAGTATGTGAGACTGAATCCTGACTCTAAGCACTTCAGTTAGGGAAACATTAACTGAAAAATAAATAAATAAATCAAAGATTTTAACATACGAGTTGTTGGCAATACATTTAAATTCTGTATAAGCTCACACATTCACAAAAGAAAAGTACATTTTGGAAATATTTAAGTCCAGAAAGATGAGAACATCATGCAAAAACAACTTTATTTCTTCAGTATATTAGGTCTCCAAAAACCAACCTCTGGTACCTGTACTACTTGGACTTTGAAACAGTGAAAACTCATATCAATAAATAAATAAAAGGAAACAATTATATATCTAGAATATTAAAGTAACATTTTCTCTTTAGTTAAAGAAATTGACATAGGATTATGTCCTTGCTCATTTTTTATACTCACAGGTACCTATCTCCACATAAAGGCCTGGACATGGTATTTCAGTTGAAAAAATGCTTTTAGCAAAAGCAGTAACTACAGAGCTGCTATAGTAGAAATTCACATGCAATTTTAACTACACACTTTCCTATCAAAAACATCTTCTCACTTTGACTGATGACTGATTTGAAAAGAACAATACACCCCAAAATGACTCCTGCCTTCAAGTGATGCAACAAACATCAAGAAAAAGACATTAATATTAAAAGTAATTTAAGACACTTAAGATTACACAGATACAAGGGAAGTCATTAATTTTGGACAGGTAAAGTGAAGTAGCAAGTATGTGAGACTGAATCCTGACTCTAAGCACTTCAGTTAGGGAAACATTAACTGAAAAATAAATAAATAAATCAAAGATTTTAACATACGAGTTGTTGGCAATACATTCAAACTCTGTATAAGCTCACACATTCACAAAAGGAAAATAATTGAGAAATAGATCTGTGGAAGGCCTATTAAAGAGAAGTCACAGCACAGAGCTTACCAAAACCTACTCCACAACAGCATCAGCCAAAAGGCTTAAGCTGTGCCTCCTCCCACAAGATCTATCTGCTTAACATGCTTAAATAAAAAAAATTTTAAAATTACAAATCCTGCACAAATACTCCCTCTATACCTCTGTATTGCTAAGAGTACTTTCCCAGTGACATAAACCTCTTCCCATCTGCAGTTCAAACACCAGTCTCAGGTCAGGCTCGCAGCATCCACCTGTGAATCCACCTTTCCTGAGAACTGATGCTCCACATTTTGTTAATCAAACACAAGGCACTCATAGCCTAACTCAGAGGTTTCACCCCTTAAAAATGAAACTGATGGTATACAGGCCTGTAAATACACAACACAAAAGACTGCAATGCATTCAAAGTAATAATTTATAAACCCAGATATTTCTGATGTTTATCTGACAAGTTTAAATTAATTAAGCTTTCAAGCAACAATTAATGCAGTCAAGTGCAGATGTAACACTTTTTTATTTCCCGGGATTTCACAACTAAACATAACATAACTATAGGTTGATGGGCAGGAAAACAGCTACAAAAACAGAGTGAAAAATTTAACATTTTAACTACTGAAGGCAGGTTAGGGTTTGGCACCTCGCAGTGAATCACATTTTCATTTCAGAGAGTTTTGAAAATTCTGAAAGACTTTTGAAACCCTACAGCTCAGACCTGTTTAATGAGCTCGATGTATTCATGGCAATCTTAGTCAACTCATGTTCATTACATTTCCTACAATTTTGTAGCTTTAATACATTGACCAACAAAGCCCCTACAGCCACTGGCAGAGAACACTGCCAGGGAACTGACAGAGAACACAATGTCCTGAGCCATACACTGCTCCTTTTATCCTTTTTCAAGGACAAACATCACTTGACAGAGCATAACATACTTTTTCAACACTGATATTTTGCTGCAGCATTAAACTCTCTGAAGGTAGTTCTACAAAACACTGTACACAACAGAAGGCAATACCCTTCCAGAGCCTCCTCAAACTAACTCAGCCCCTTACTGTTAGCCAGAACTCAGAGCTTACCCTGCTGCACCTGGCAACGTAAAAAGAAAACTCTGTCTAAAAGTAGGCTTCTTCACAGCCTATATCCTGCCCTATCTTTACAAGAATCAGCTTTGAATGAAAACTGGCTTGTGTTTCTGCTTGTTTTGAGAAGGACCTTAGGTCCTGTCCACAAGCTCCTCTGTTTGTCACTAGCACTGTGTACTGATAACTTGGCTTACGTGTTCACCGTGACAAACAGCCAGGTTCCATCAAAGCCCCAAACCAGCAGTACACACTAAGTGTAACTCCATAAAGCTGTAATCTTCAGAACTATTCTGCAGCATTTAACTGTCTGGGGGAGATTTTTCCCCCTTGAACCACGAAAACTCCAACCCACCACACACTTTGCACCAAAAAATCTTTCAGCTAGCATCTCATGGAACTTTCCATCTATTAATACATTATACCTTACAAGCCATTTCTGTTTCAGTTTTTTCTTTAACAAGGAATTCCATTCTAGCAAGGTGTTCTCTTAGGGTGTTATCCCTCTCCACAACAAATCTTTGTTGCTCCTCTTCCCACTGCCGCTGAGCACTTTGAACCATCTTCTCAGTCTCTGCTGCTTTCTCCTGGTATTTTTCATTGAGTACTGATGTTTACAAAAAAAAAAAAAAAGAAAAAAAAAAAAAAAAAAAAAGAACACACACATTGGACACAATGATAGGGAAGAGCAGTCAGATGTCAGGAAGTCAAGCCTCAAGAAGGACAGCAGAACAAGAGTTTGGAGAAAATACTAAAGACAGGCCAGAAGTGAGGTGCTCTGTCCAAGAAGTTAAGTTGGGATTGTGTCAAAAGCACCACATGAGGTGAGCAAAGCTCCAAGAGGCCAGGAAAAAAGAAGTGGTAAGTTAAAAAGTGGAAAGGAGATGAGAAGCAACATTACAACTACTTGGCTTCTTTGACATTTGTCACAATAAAAACAAAAGCAGGAATAAACCCAACAAAAAACCAAAGAAAACAAATATGAAAACAAAACCCGAACCAAACACAAACCCGAATCAAACAAAAATAGTTTGACACATTTAAAACAACCATAAAATTTTTCTAATTTATGTGTTCTCCAAATTAATGAAAGTGTATATTTCTTATTATTTTTTAAAAAAAATTATTAGGCCATATAAGTGCACTGGCAAGTTTCAAAGTCTCCTTGCATCCTAGTAAGGTTACAAACTCCAGAAATGCTCCAGTCTTTTCAATGAACACCCAAGTTTCACAAATACATCTCCCATACCAAATTTTAAGAGTATTATACTTACTTAGGTAGGAAAACATGCATCTCCCTGGCTTTTAAGTGTAAGAAATCTCTCTGTTTGAGAAGGACTAAGAAAGTTTGAGTTTCTGAATGCAAAACAAGTAGGGGAAAAAATGTGTAGGTAAAACCCTTCCTTTCTGCAGACTACTGTCATAATGCACGTTTTCTGTATGAAAACAAAAACCAAAGATGACACAAAGAGACCGGATATGTGTGGCCGCAGATCTCTTCACAGAGAACAGCAGGCACAACTTCCCAAGGATTTTCCTGGGGAAGGCAGTGAGAGCCTCAGAGAAGAAAACAATTCTTATCTCTATTCACTGCTCCTGCTTTTGCACATGTGGAATGTGTTATGGAAATTGTTTACCTGAAGTGATTTGGTTATTGGACACCAGTGAAGGTTGTTTTGATTTCTTTGCCAGTTGGGTCAAAGTTGTGTCCTGCCTGTCTCAGAGAGTCACAGGTTTTTCTTTAGTATTTTTTTAGTATAGTGTCATTTTAGTATGTAATTTAGTATAGTATTAGTGTAATATAATATAGTTTTGATAAAGCAATTGTTCAGCATTCTGAATAATAAAGTCAGAGCACATTACTCCCCGCCAGGGGGTCACCTTTCAACAATAGATATGAGTAATGAAAAGCTAGAAATATTTGACAAGATTAAATAAAAAAGCAGTACTATGAGAACTCCTGGGGGGGAAAAAAATTTTTAGAAAGAGTGTAAACAAATAAACAGGATTCCTTTGTTGTTTTTTTTTTTCACTGAAATGGAAAAGGAAGAACTGCGGGCACAGTTGCAGCTGTGGATGTCCAAAAACCCATTTGAGGGTAGCCCGTCTAGCCAAAACTGATTAAGAACACAACCCAACACATAGTGGTAAGCAGGAAATGGAGAGGGACACCTTAACTACAATTCCGTACAGAGTGAGGGAAGGAATAACAGAAGGTAAGGAGCAAGAGGAAAATAAAGGAATTGATAGGCTTAGCAGGTTATATTTAATTCATATGAGACAGCAAGGGTTTTGTAAACTCTTATGAGCTTACAGAAGCAGATGAATAAGATATGGGAAAATAAGAGACTTTAAAAAAAGGCTGTAATTGTAAAGCCTTGTGCAATCTCTGACTGTTTTAATGACAGGGACTGACGTAGCCTCTGATCTATGATTTCTCTTTTTTTTTCTTTTAATTACCTTGCAGTTCCAAAATTTTGTTTTTTATATCACACAGCTCATCCTCTGTAGAATACATCTATATTTGAGCCTCTTTTCTAGCAAATGACATACCACTCTCCAGATGTTGACGAAGAACTTCTCCTCTCTCCAGTTCCAACCTTAATTTTATTATTTCTTTTTCATCCATCATTTTTGATAATTAACCTCCAGGAGGCTTAAAACAACTGGCAAGCTCTTTGTGTCCACAGAAGGTCTCATTTTTTAACATGAGTTGCCATCTCAAAACCACCTCTGTCATGAAATAAATGCAGAGATGTGGAAAAAAGCCTCTGTTTTACACACTCTGTCTTCAGAGGTATATATATTCAAATTACAGACATGCAAATGATCACAAACACAATACAAGTTAAAGTTTAGTCCTCCAAACTACCCTGTTTTATCATAATTTCCACTACTATTTCAGTTAAAATAAAATGTATTTGGCAATTAGCAGAATCAGCCCTTGAGCACCACAAACAATAAAAGTGAGTCAATACCAAGTTTCTACATATAAAATGAAAAATTTATACAAAGAATAGACAAATTCATATATATGTGCACACACATAAATATGTATATTATACATATATATACATATGTATATAAATATGTATACTAAAATACATATTTATTAACTAGTTAAATAATTTTCAGTGAAATTATTATAACTTAACACTTCAAACTAGAAAATTTTTAAGTTATTTCAGTACTTGAAAATCAATGTTTCCATTATTTGATATATGTTGGTTTTCACATTATTTCAAGTATGTAATACTGCAATAATTATTTTCTCCACACAAAAGTGCAAGAGTTTATGGGCAATAAATGTGAAATACACTGATATAAGAAACATTATTAAATTAAACACTAAATTGGTATCATATAATGCTGAAATGTAAATACTAAAATACCATACCTTTGTCTACATAAAGTATTTTTTACAGCAATGACACCATACTGGCATTTATTAATAGATCTTTCTCAATAAAAAGTGACCACTTTACCCCTAGATTTGTGTAGGCCAAATCACCATTTTTCACAACCAAAAAGTTACCTGATGACATATGTTTTCTCTAGTTTGTTTTTTTTTGACTGGCCAAAGATACACAAATGCTATCAACAAGGGGATCAGTAACTTAGATTAAATCTTGCCTTTAAAGACATTACTACTGTTAAAGGATGTATGACAGCAGTAAAACAGAGAGCATAATATTAAGTATTGGCAAAAAAAAAAGCATTAGACACTTTTTGAAACAACATTTTATGCACAGTTTCTGAACTCACAAGGAAATTGGTGGAAACTTCAAGATATATATCTGAAAATCCTATTTTTTTTTCCTCAGTATAGAATCAAAAAACCCTAACCCAACAAAACCAAACCAAACCAGACCAAACCAAACAAAAAATTAACTCAAAAACACCCCCAAAACCCAAAAACAAATCAAACCAATAAACCACCAAAACCAAAAAGCAACAACAACAAAAAACCAAACAAAAAACCAAAAAACCCAAACCATCCAGTGACAGAACTGCTACATTATTACTATGTTAACCACTTTCATTTTGGTTGTCTACTTGAACATTTTCAAATAAAATAGAAAGTAGCCTTAAGAATTTTTGTTTCTGTGATACTTTCTTTAATTGTCACAGCATGGCCAGCAAAAGCAGTACTTTACGAAAGCTTCCTACCACTTGTAGGAGATTTTTCCTTCCATTTTCATGTAACAACTAGAAGTGCTACAACTATAAAGCTCTCAGAAGATTCAAAGACAAAACCACACAAAGTCCCTGGAAAGTTTCAAAGTATGCAAGATTTGCAGTCTAACAAAATTCAGAGAATGTTTTCGACTTCCATTTTCATATATTACTCGCTGATCAACTCTTGGTTTTGAACTAAAATATGTTTTTTACCACCTACAGCTTTCATCTAAGACACCATTTCTAGGAGGACTTTAAGAATCTTCAAGAAAGCATATGAGGAGATGAAATACCTCTTGAGTTCTGTATTGCAGAAGGTATTTTGTAGCTCCAAACCTAAATTCTCAGTGTTCACTTCACAAGTCTGCTGGTTACAGTCAGCATTGACCATTGCAGAACAGCAGCTTTTCACTAGCTTCAATTCCACAGCTGGCAGAAAATGCAGAGTAGTTTTGCAACTGAGAGAAATGTTCTTTCATTTACTACCTAGCAGTGTCATTTTGCTAAACTTCTGCAGCTGAGGGAGCAGACTGCAGTCTGATTTTCTAACCAAAGTCCGTATTTGTGGAATTTTGCTGTTCCCATACAACTGGCAGTTTTGCACAGACTAAAGAGAGACAAACAGTTTGTGCCAAAGATCAAACTCTTATCAATTTGTAAAACACAGGGGTCATGGTAAGACTTCAAGCCAATCTCTACCTCCTCAATTTGTGTGAAAAACCCTCCTGTGCCTCCTGGGCAGTGCTCCTACATGCTGGCAGAAACTGCCTCTGCCTCCTGACCACTCTATGACAGCTTGCATGTGTGACACCATATCTGGTTCTTCCTCAGCCTGAATTGTATGGTTTCAGCCATCTAGGAAATAAATAAGCCACAAAAGCAGGAATTAAACTGCTAGACTTAAAAATCCAGAACTGAACCTTACCCATTAGCTTCCTTGGAAGAGATGTTGTCTGAATAGGGGAAACTCATGGTGTCCTAAATGCAGTTTTTTAAGTCATAAACTGTGGAGAAATAAGAATACAGTTAACCATATATACTTTTACTTGATAAGCTTCAAAGATTAGTCTCTTCTGTATCATAAAACCATCATGGCCTCTAGCAGAGGCATGCTTTACTTGTCAACCTACTAAAATATTGATTTTTTTAAGCACTCATGCTACCACAGGAACAATTACCACAACTGCAATTTGACGTCAGCTTTAGAAAATAGAATTGTATTGCTAGTCCTCTAAGCCTGACTATTGTAGAGAAATAAATATATATATAAATAGAACAGAATATCTGCTGCCAGAGTTTTCAGAGCATCAATTAAAAAATGTTATGTTTGTGTAGATTGAGCTACATTCTCCTAAGAAGTTTGCAAAATCTGCTTCTCTTCAAAACAATTCTACACACCTCTAAGGGAGATAAATGAAGGTACTATGTTTTTTAAAGTAGATTGAATATCCAAGGTTGCCCATCTAGGAGAACACTTGCTATCTTAAAGGCTGGTAAGTCTCTCAAAAATTTCACAGAATTTTTGCATTAAGATTTAGCCCTGAGAACTAAGAAATTAGTTTTACATAATACCATTCTTTGCAACTGTCACCAAAATCTCATCATGAACACAAATAAAAATAAAATCTTTAAAAAATTGTACTTTCATAAGAGAATGAAAATGTTTTCTGTCACATCCACATCACTCTGAAGTTTTAAAATTCTTTAAATGACTCTGAAGTCATACAGAAGAAAAGAAAAAAACCACAAAATCTGAAGAGTGTCACCTGAGAATGCTAAAGATTTTGAATATGCAATATCCCTCTGTTAAAATATGTGTTAATGGCTTACTAGCACATAAAGTGATAAATTCAAAAAGCATGTGATTTCACTTAGGAAAAGAAAAATTCCACTGCTATGCACTGGCTTGTGGTAACTCCATAGTTAACAATACAAAACAGCAGAGGAAGTTTTTGCCTGGGGAATTATGTTTGATGTGTCACTGAAAAGCTGTGTCAGTTTCTTCTTGCAAACTTCTGAATATATGCTGGATACTTCAGAATAGGCCACTGATTTAGGTGTGAGGAATAAATGCTCCTCAGTGAGGGTGGGGAGATCCTGGCACAGGGTGCCCGGAGCAGCTGTGGCTGCCCCATCCCTGGGGGTGTCCAAGATCAGGCTGGACAGGGCTTGGAGCAGCACCCTGGGAGAGTGGAATGTGTCCCTGCCCACGGCAGAGCATGGAACAGGATGACATTTGAAGGTCCCATGACATTTGAAGGTGATAGAGACTGCTCAAGAATAAACCCACCTGTGATCTGAAGGGGCACTGACTCCAAGCAGGCAAAGCCAGGAGTGAGGGACAAATCCGCAGCGAAGCTGCAGAGACTCACCCGACGGTCTGGAGCGGAATTCTGGAGCTGTCCTGATGGTGCTCGTCCTCCAGCATGACCAGCTGGGACTGCCGCAGGAATTCCAGTGCTGGAACCAAGGGGGAACCCTGAACAGGATTCCACGGCTGCCTGGATACGGACGGTGAGGTCACAGTTCACGGAACCCAGCGCTGGGCTCTGCCGGGGCTTCCCCATCCCCTCTCGCCTCCCAGATGTGTTTAAAGGCTTAAGGGCTCCCGAGGGTCAAATACAGCTGCAGGAAATCAAAAGCACACACGGGCACCAAAGCCACATGCTGAGATGTGCGTGTTAATTAATCTCTCTCTGACTTGAAATACGTATCTCCTGTGGGATACAAGCAGAGCTCTAAAGAGCATGAGTTTTTCCAATACATGATCTGCTTTCTTGCCTTCCTTGTCCAGGGTCCCATGCAACTGATTTTACTTTGGATTTAACCAGGTGCTTTTTCATCTCTTTCCTTGGTCTGGTAGTTATGCTTTGAGCATCTCTGGGGAATAAGAGCTCCAATTTGTTCTCCAAAATGTTTCACCTGGTCCTACAGGTGAACCTGCTTTGGGGTGATGCCTGAACTCCTCCCACCAAGACCATCCAGGTCCATCAGGAGCTTGGTGCACCAAAATCCAGTCTCCAG